TTCTGTTTGTTCTATTTCCAGTACTCTATTTTTCCTACCCCTTTATCTTATTATCTTATCTTTGCTTTTGAGTAATTGTTAGTTGAGAATACTTTTTTGATTTCCCTCTTCATTTCTTCTTTGACCCATGGGTTATTTAGAAATATGTTATTTGGTTTCCAAGTATTTAGGGATTTTCCAGAGGTCTTTCTGTTATTGGTTCCTTATATAATTCCACTGTGGTAAGAGTACATACTTTGTATGACTTGAATCCTTCTAAATTTGTTGAGACTTGTTTTATAACCCAGAATATGGACTATTTTGGTAAATAGTACATGTGCAGTTAAAAAGAAAGTGTACTCAGCTGTTGTTGGGTGGAGTGTTCTACAAATTTCAATTAGGTCAACTTAGTTGATATGTTATTCAAGTCGTCTATATCCTTACTCATTTTCTGTCTACTTGTTTTATTAATTATTGAAAGAGACATTGAAATCTTTGAATGTATTTGTGGATTTGTCTGTTTCTCCTTGCAGTTCTATCAGTTTTGCTTCATAAATTTGAAGCTTTATTATTAAGTACATAAATATTTAAGATTGTTAGATCCTCTTGAGGAATTGACCTCTTTATCATTATGAAATGACTTTATCCCCATTAATATTCTTTGTACTAGAATCTGCTTTTTATGGTATTAACATGCAGCTTTCTATTGACTAGTGTTAACATAGTATATCTTTTCCCGACTGTTTGCTTTTAACCTATTTGTGTATAAAGTACATCTTTTGTAGGCAGCGTATGTGGGTTTTCTCATTTTAGGGAGTCTTCAGGCTCTGCCTGGATTTCCCCTCCCTGTGCTATGGCCTAAAAACTCTCTAAGCAATAAGCTGGGACAAACATGTGGCTCATTTTTTTTGCTTCCCATCTCTTAGGAACAGGGCTGGGACTAGGATAAGGCAAGTGAGGATACAAAATTTAAGAAGGCAGTTACTCTTAGGGGCATAATCTTGAGTGAATGCTGTTTTAAATTTTTCTCTGTAGGCACCTCACTCTTAAGAAGGCACTCATTCTCAGGGTCGTGGAAGTAGAGTTCACCATCACCACCAGTTGCCATCAAGTTGACTCCGACTCATGGTCACCCGATGTTAGAGTAGAACTGCACTCCATAGAGTTTACAATGGTTGATTTTTCAGAAGTAGATCACCAGGCCTTTCTTCTGAGGTGGCTCTGGGTAGATTAAAATTGCCAACCTTTTTGCTAGTAGACAAGCACTTAGGTGTTTTGCCACACAGGGACTCCTAAGTACTGGATCAGCACCTCAGAATAAGTGTCTCCTTAAACTTTGTACCTTAGAGGCCTCACATAGTTCATGCTTGTCCCAGCCCTGCACAAGGATCACTGTCCTTTGTTACATGATGTCCAGTGTCTTGAAAACCATTTTTAAAAATACATTTTGTCCAGTTTTTTTTTGGTTGTTTCAACTGGGAAGGTAAATCTGGTCCCTATTACTCTGTTTTCTAGAAGGAGAAGTCTGGACCTCTTCTTTATGAGATTAAAAAAATCCCATATGTTGAGCAATCTGAGTGAAATACAAATGTTCTCAGGCCTCCCTGTAAAGAATTCAGCAAAATGTGGGTCTTCCTTCATTCAACCATCAATCAGTGGGCACCTACTGTATACTGTGTTCTGGGCTAGGAACTGGGGTTAAAATCAAAGAAGATATGGTACCTACCTGCTAGTTGTTTTATAGCTGGCTTTTTTTAGAGCTATTAGGTTGGCTCTTTCATACCATGCTTCACCTGTGACATAGGCCAGGGTAGGCAGAGAACTAGAGAAAGTCACACTTTAGAGATCATCTCTACTAATTTCCAGACCCAGAGTGGCTCAGAGGTTCTTAAGCTCACACAGCTAGTCAGCAGCAGGTGATTGCTGTGTACTCTATTTTGAGGGATATGGAGGAGGGAACCAGTCCAAAATATCTCTTCCCACTGCCAGTTACTATGACTGACATCCCACCGTTAGAGGCTCATTCATTAAAAGCACAGACCACATCTTATTCATGTTTGAATTTCACAGTATTAGCTCAGAGTCTGCTACGTGGTAATCAATAAATGAGAGAGAGAGAGAGAAAGAAAAAAAAAGAAGGAAGGGAAGAAGGAAGAGAGGGAGGGAGGGAGGAAGAAAGGAAGGAAAAATATGCCTGTTGAAATGATAAATATGCATCTGGGAGGTGATTTAGATTATTATCAGTTGGGAATGAGTAGACAGCTAAGAGCAAGCCCACAGCTGGGACCCATATAGGAAGGCAATATGGTATAGTGGAAGATAGGTCACTACCTGTGCTAGACCTTGATCTAAGTTACTTAACCTCTTTGAAACTCAATTGCCTCCTCTGTATGATGGGAATATTAATCATACTTACCTTATGGGGTGATATAAGCTTCTGATAAGATGAAATATGTTAGGGGCCTGGCAAGAAAGCCCTCAAGGAATAAGAGGCATTAGTAGTCTAGTCTTCTGGGAACAGTAGAGGGAGTGGAGTGTGCCTACTAGCAGGGCCAGATTACCCAGTAAGCAAGGTACGCATGGGTTTACTTGTGCGTACTTACTAATCTGTAGTGAACAATTTCACCTGTTTTTCATCACATCAAAGTATTTTGTAGATGACCAGCCTTTCATGTGGTTTTTGTTTACCACAGATTACTAGGTAAACACAAGTAAGCCTGTGCATACCTTGCTTAATGTAAGCCTATGCGTACCTTGCTTACTGGTTAATCCACCCCTGCCTCCTTGGTGGCATAGACCTTGCAGACAGAGTCCCGTGGAGGTACCAGGAAGACAGCAGGCTGTTCTGTTCATACTGTATATTTACAGAAGTGCACGTTACCACCATCATTATCCAGAAGCCCTTCCTAAGCCTAGTACTGCATGCAGGTATGCTGGGCAATGCACAAAAACATCTGCACAGACATAGTCCTGGCCTCTCATCCAAGGCAGCTCTTTCTGGGGATGACAGAATAACTATGTTAAATCTGCATATGATTGGGGGTTAGCCATTTCACACCAGGTAGGGGTGATGAGAAAGACCAATTCCCAAGTGAGGGGCTGGTCAAGGGAGTCATGATGGGAGTGGCATGATCGCCTGGGTGGAGTCAGAAGGTGCTGTCTGCTCTGCTTTGTGGAGGCTCCATTACCTGGAGTTAATTCCTGAGGCCAGCAGGTAGCCTCCCAGCTCTGGGCCTACAAAACAATAAAACACCCAAACCCATTGCCATCGGGTCTGTTCCACCTCATAGCGACCCTACAGGACAGGGTACAACTGTCTCATAGGGTTTCCAAGGAGAAGCTGGTGGATTCGAACTGCAAACCTTTTGGCTAGCAGCCAAGCTCTTAACCAGTATGCCACTAGGTCTTGACAACTCTGGTAGTGGAAAATGTAGATTGAAATCATGGATTGCTTTGGAGTCATGGTATAGCTGAGCCAGAAGCCCAGGTCCTGGTATTTGAGGCAGTCAGAGAAACCCACCTGGTATTATAGGGATTGTCTACCTTCTTTATTAACATGGACGCAGGAGTTATCTGATTCAGAACATCACTTTCTCCAGTTCCCCACAAAATGCATTACTATAGTGCATATCTGTGTTTTTAAATTCAAATGTTATCAGGTACTTAAAATTTGGACCTAGTCTACTTCCAAAACAGTCTTCAGATGGAAAATCCAAAGATATTGATATCAATATTTTCTTTTATCACATTAATTTTTTGTTGGTAACATTATTTTGAGAATTTCACAGACTTGCAGAGTGTTTGAGCTTAAAGAGATCTCAAGGACATACTAGTCTAGTCTTCTCATTGTACAGATGACCCTGAGGCCCAGAGAGGTGATGACTGCCAAGTCCAGGCTAGAAGCCAGGTTCCTGCGTGCCTCGTCCCATGACATCACATTGCAAGATGCCCTCTGAAAAACTCCTTGAGGGGCCTTAAGAATCTGATTGAGGTGTATGATTTATGAGTCTATGTTGGCTAAAGACAGCCTTGGGTGTCACCAAGCCAGACCTGGAGAGTGCAGTACAACAGGAAGCTCCTTGAGGATGGGGCATGCTCTCAAAGCTCAGCTGCATTGCTCACAGCTCCAGCAGAGGTCTGCAGCATGGGGTAAGAGCTCGCCAAGACCATGCTGATTGTGAGTGATGGGGAGAGAGTACATATGAGAGAAGGGAGTCTCCATCCTTGGCAACCCTGAGGAGTCAGGATAGTAAGGGATTGAGATCAAATACAAATTAGATGACCTTGGATTTAAATCTCAGCTTTTACGCTAACTTGTTTGTGGCCTTGGGCAAGTCACTGAACCTCTCTGAGCCTGTTTCCTCTTTGGTAACAAGAGATAATATTTATATCAGAAGACTATGAGTATTAAATTAGAAAATGTATGTAGAGAGCGTGGCATGGTGCTGGCCCCTAAGGAAAAAAATACAGTTGCCATCGAGTGGATTCCGACTCATGGTGATCCCGTGTGTCAGCGTAGAACTGTGCTCCACAGGGTTTTCAGTGGCTGATTATTCATAAGTAGATCACCAGCCCTTTCTTCCAAGGCATTTCTGAGTGAATTTAAACCACCAACCTTTTGGTTAGCAGCCAAGCACAATACTGTTTGCACGACCCAGGGACTCCCTACCTCTAAGTATACACACAAAAAAATGGCATCTGGCCTATCAGGATATGTGTTGTTATTGTTGTTTAAATTCATAGACATTGTTCTTAGGTGTCCTCCACCCCATGTCCTTTCAATCTAGAAGCGTCTGTGCTCTTTCCTTCCCTCTTTTCTCGCTCTGATGGGCTGGCTGATCTATTAGTGATCATGGCACATTTCCTTGTCTTGAGCTTCTGTTAATTAAAGAGGTGGTTGCTAAGACATGTCGGGCACACTGGTGAGTGGCTTTGTGCTGCACTCTCATCCCCTCTCATACCTTGTCAGCCTCACTTCATCCCCACCATACCCACTTCTGTCTTCCATCTCCCATGTTCAGGTTCTGAAAAGGCTTGAAGAAATTGATAAATCTGGATGGCTACCTCCAACCAGGGGGTGGTCTCCAGACCCCAGAGACCTGGTCGGGGGCCAGTGGGGAGCAAGGCCAGCCTGGGTCACCTGGACAGCCTGGAGTGGAAGGAGAACCAGGAGCAGACACCAAGTCAACTGGCCATGCTGAAGAAGGCACAGGAATTCTTCCAGGCCTGTGATGCAGAGGGCAAAGGCTTCATTGCCAGGAGAGATATACAGGTAAGAGGGATCCCACTGGGCTGCCCACCTGGAATGCCAAATGGCTTGGGTTTCCCTATCTTGGGTTAGGGTTTGGAGGTGATATCTTTAACAGAAAAGATGGCATAAATTCTGCCCAGAAGGAGATGTCATTCCAAACTCTACTTGGAACCGGATGTCCTGAGTTACTTCTTTTTTCTGGCCTTTACCTACTGTCACACTCAGGGTTTGTTTCCCCTCACTGAATTGGAAATGCCCCAGGATTGTAGAAACAGTGATAGTAATACCTTTACCAACTTATTACTTTGTAATCAGGTTCTTCGCTATGATGAAATCGTTCGTGCAAGGTGCTATGTGTGCCTTAGAAATAAGAAGTGTTGGGTCCTCACCTGCTGCAACAACCTGGAAGAAAGACATGTATAGAGGCCATCTTGTCTCTCATCCTCAAACCCAATCACATTTAACCCCTTCTTAAGCATGTCCAGAGAAAGAGGGAGAGATTGCAGCACCTCAGTGCACACACCATTGTCTAGTGCAGGGGTGGGCGAGCTTTTTCTGTAAAAGACCAGACAATAAATATTTTAGGCTTTGCAGGCCATCTGGTCTCTGTCGCAACTATACTCATCTCTGCTGTTTTAGCACAAAAGCAGCCATAAATAATATATAAACAAGTGAGTGTAGCTATGTTCCAATAAAACTTTATTTATGGACTCTAAAATTTGAATTTCCTATAATTTTCACATATCATCAAATATTATTCTTCTTCTGATATTTTTTTCAACCATTCAACAATGCACAAATCCTTTTTAGCTCCCTAGCAGTGGGCTGGATTTAGCCTGGGGGTGTGGTTTGCCTACCCCCCGGTCTAGCGCCTTTCTACTTTTAGTGTCGTAAAGTTCTTCTCATGGTCCCTGTGTGGTGCAATCGGTTTGTGCTCGCCTGGTAAACAAAAAGTTGGTGGTTCGAACCCACCCAGCAGCACTGCGGAAGAAACAGTCCTGGTGATCTGCTTTCATAAAGATTATAGCCCAAAAAACCCTATGGAGCAGCTCTACCCTGTAACATATGGGGTCTCTTAAGTCACAAATCAGCAACAACAAAAAAGTGTTTCTCAGTGTTTTATATAAATCCCTTATGCTACAGTCATGATTTCACCCTATACATGTGAAATCCATAATGTGAGTAAATAAAATCCAGGCTCCACTAGACCGCTATGAAAGCAACTCTTTCTCCCCAGCCTTTTCATCACTCACATCAAGAGCATTTTAGGGAGAGATGCCTATGCCGTTTGGAGGAAGACCTGCGATAATCAGGGCTTTTGTTTTGTTTTGTTTTTAAGGTCTAGGTTTTTAGAGTTACACTAAAGTTGAGCTATGAAATTGAGACTCCTACTAGTATCCATTCCTTCTCTGCTTACACATGTGAGCTGCAAGACTTGGAGGCTGAGAAATGAGTCTTGTGACCTGGGTGAAAGGATGCTGCTTCCTTCTCTCCCTCACCCCATGGGATGGTGTTTTCCTACCTCTCCTAGAGTTTCTCTACCACCTAATCATTGAAGGAATTGAGGAAAAAGACCTGGGGAGCAGCACCAGCTCAGTCTGCAAGTGGGCTTGGCCCACCCTTGTTTAAGTACACCTAACCCATTGCTGTTTAGTTAATTCCAACTATAGCGACCCTACAGGACAGAGTAGAACTGCCCCATAGGGTTTCCAAGGAGCAGCTGGTGGATTCAAACTGCCAACCTTTTGGTTAGCAGCCGAGCTCTTAACTACTGCACCACCAGGTCTCTTTAAGTACACCTACTCCTCTTATTGACTATCTTGTTATCAGACATTTCACATTTCTGACTGCAGTAAAAATCTACTATCTATTTTGTGCATAAACAATGTACCTCTGGCAGTAATCCTTTCATGACCAGTGGAACGTATAGTACCCACCTACATTTTCTGCATCACAGGTCCAGAGGGACATATGTGTCCCACATAATATTTTGTGATCTGATGTGGTCATCTTCTATTTTTGCCTAATGCTGATTTTCACATAATGACCTGGTCTTTGGAACCTAACCATGTCGATAAGTGAGGAGTGGGTGTAATGGATCCCCAATAAATTTCTGTTACTGAAACTCATTCACAAAATCCCACTTCACATGGAAGGCCAGATTTGGTGTGTTTTGAGGAAACCTTTGAAAACCCCTTATCTTCCTCTACCCCCCATGAACTTCGCAGGTCTTTCATAGTGGAGGTGGTTTTAATAGTACATGTAACTTTTGATTATTCCCTCTAGAAACAAAGAAAAGGGAATTAACATTTGTTGAGGGTCAACTATGGACCACATGCACTGTGCAACTAAACACTATATATATATCCTGATTAACCCTCATTTAACCCCATTCTTTAATGAAGGGAGGAAGAAGTATGGTAAATTTAAACTGTAGAGTATAAATTTCTTTAAAAATTGTATTTGACTTGGACTGTAGTCAGAAACTTCAAGTCCCAGAGATACCAGCTCAGCCACATTCCTCCTCGGCCCTCTTCCCTCCTTTCTCCCTCCTGATCCAGGCAGGAGGGAAAGGGGACTTAACAACCCACCATGCAGTTACTGGTGCCTCCGTGGCATTTGTTTCTGCCACCCGGTTTTCTAAAGTTTTTGTGTACTTGTGGACAGTGAAGCACTGAAAATTTTTACTTCTCTAGGCTCATATAGTGCTGGCAGGAGAGAGAAGGAAGTATGTCATTTGAGCTCCCGGCCACTTTCACTAGTCATGTCTGGAGGAAGATGGACTGGGGAGAGATAACATGAAAAGAAAAACGAGCCTCTCCTAGTGGATTCCGGGTTCTGCATGGAAAGCCCACATGCCCCTGGTGTTCTTGGGGCAGATCCTGCAGGCACCTGCTTGTTGGCTTATCACTCCCATACTTAGCTCCTTTGCAGGTGTGGTCACCTCTTTGGCTTGGTGTCCAGTTCCCTGATGGCCGTGGCTGCCGCCACCTTTTACACTTCTGGCTCCCTGCACAGCCTCATGGGAACTAGAAGGAGAAGAGCTCGGAAAGTTTCATGCACACACAAATTCAGCAACCAGGAAAGGCTCTGTAAAGTGGACACTGGTTCTCAGAAAGGAAAGGCTGTGGTCAAATGGGCAGAAGAACACATTTGGGAGCCTGGTGGAGAAAGAGATTTGGAAGAAAGGCATGGGGAGCTCACGGCCCTTTGGAAAAAGGGATGAGAGCATTAAGCACTCTCCCAGTGCTCCTTTTTTAATACCCCTTTATTTAAAAAAAATTTTAAAAATCCATCTGCAGTGGGCGAGATTGACTTCCCAAGCATCCCATAGTGGGAGGAGACTGCCACCAGCCAGCCCACACTGATACAGCAGGGACCACAGATGGAAAGGAGTAGGGTCCAGAAGTTTCTTTTCATTTGGGGGTCCCTGTAGAGACCTGGGGGAAACTCCGGAGGAACCCGCGGCGGGCTGCATTGAGGGTCGGGCACAATCAGGCATGTGCTTGGGCTCCAAGAGCAGACATCTGTTACAAGGGCAGCAGTGATGGACACTGCCCTGTGCAGACAGCATCTAGACAGTGGTTTGGAGAGTCTTCAGCCTCACAGAGGGCCCCTCAGATCCCACATCACCCTCTACAAGGAAACTCTATGGGTTCCCATAGTGGCCACTCGAGGCAGAATTGGGGAAGATACTGCTTCGTAGAATTGAGTTTGGTGCCAGACCCTGGAGAAGCAGAGACTTAGGGCTGAGGGCTCAAGAGAAAGTCAGTCTGCCTCAGATGGAAAGAAGGACATGAGAAGGCCCAGGGCACAAAGGGACTTCTTTAGCTACAAGAGGGAGGTGGAAACAGGATGGGCAGGAGGTGTCTCTGAAGAAACCTGTTGTTGTGTTAGGTGCCCTCACCAGGGTTTCTCCCGCAGAGCTGCTGGGTAGGTTCAAACCACCAACCTTTTGGTTAGTAGCTGAGTGCTTAACTTTCGCACCACCAGGGCTCCGGACCAGACCAGACCAGACCAGACCTATTGCCATCGAGTTGATTCTGACTTGTAATGACCCTATAGGACAGAATAGACTGTTCTATAGGGTTTTCTAGGTTGTAATCTTTATGGAAGCAGACTGCCAGATCTTTCTCCCACAGAGCAGCTTGTGGATTTGAACTGCCAACTTTTCGGTTAGCGGCTGAGCACTTAACCACTACACCACCAGACTCCTTCCAGGGTTCCTAGAGCCTCACCGACCCTGTGTCTTAGTTATCTAATGCTGCTATAACAGTAACAAGTGGATGGCTTTAACAAAGAGAAATTTATTTCCTCACAGTAAAGTAGGCTAGAAGTCCAAATTTAGGGCGTCAGCTCCAGGGGAAGGTTTTCTCTCGCTGTCGGCTCTGGAGGAAAATCCTTTTCATCAGTCTTCCCCTGGACTAGAAGCTTCTCCACACAAGAACCCCAGGTCCAAAGGACGTGCTTTGCTCCAGGCGCTGCTTTCTTGGTGGTATGAGGTCCACCTGTCTCTCTGCTCGCTTCTCTCTTTTATATCTCAGAAGAGATTGCCTCAAGACAAAATCCAATCTTGTAGATTGAGTCCTACCTCACTAACACAACTGCCACCTATCCCACCTCATTAACATCATAGAGATAGGATTTACAACACATAGGAAAATCACACAGATGACAAAATGGTGGACCTAATCACACAATCCTGGGAATCATGGCCTAGCCAAATTGATACATGTATTTTTGGGGGACACAATTCAATCCATGACACCCTGTCTCCCTGATCTTTCAGAGGAGTGAAATGATTATCTACCCACCCCAAAGACCTCCCCAATGAGCCTGGGATTCCTGACTTAGTCAAACTGTTAAGAATTATTTAGGTCAGGGCTTGGCACACTGTGGCCTGTGGGTAGTTTTTGTAAATAAAGTTTTACTGAAACACAGCCATACTCATTTACTTGTTGTCTGTGGCTGTTGTCACACTACAACAGCAGAGATGAGTAGTTGTGACTGAGACTGTATGGCCACAAGCCTATCTGGCCCTTTACAGAAAAAGTTATCTGACCTCTGATTTAGGTTAATAAGAAGACTTTTTGGTAAGTTGACTTGGGTTTTAACCCTAAATCTGCAATTTACTAGCTATGGGAATTTGTGTGTATCTCTTAACCCTTCCAGGCCATATAGTTCCTCATCTGTGAATTATTAATAGCTGTGTCCTCACATTAGAAGAGAATTAGATGTGCTTATGCATGTAGAGTGCTTAGCCCTAAGACTGGGACCTGGAAATCTTTCCATAAATGCTCTTGTGTGGGGGTGCTGTAATCTGTGTTAGTCCAGTCCCTGGTGTCCTCCACAATGATTTTAAGTGTGAGTCATCTGCCCTGCCTCAGAGATAAAGAAGGGGCATTCCTGCAGAAGAGGGCACTTTCCACTCCTATCAGCTGATGCTATTCCTGTTTGTGTCCAGTCTATATCAGTGCAGGCTATTTTGCCACCTAGGGGACATTTAGCAATATCTGAAGACTTTTTAAAAAAATTTAATTGCAACCACTGAGAAGGAGGCTGCAACTGCATCTAGTGAGTAAAGGCCAAGGATACTGCTAAATATCCTATAATGCACAGAGGACAACCCCTCTCCCCCAACAACAACCAAAAAACTATCTGTTTCAAGATGTCGGTAGTACAGAGGTTGAGAAACCCTGGTCTACACGAGGCAATGGGCCCAAGCCAAGCATATCAAGGTGCAAAGCAGAGTAAAGGTATATCCTGCCCTCCTGGACCTCACATGCTCATCTTGAAGATATTTGACGTAGCTGAGCTATACCACAGGGAAGAGTGGCTGGTGCCGGAAGAGACGTCTGAACCGCATGGTGTGGGACCTCCAAAAGGAGGGAGAGTTTGATTCTGGCTGTAAAGATGTATCTCTGCTGGTTCTCACTCTTTATCTCTCCCTTTTTTTTTTTTTGGTGGTAAAAAATATATATCTATCATAAGCTTTTCTGTTTTAGACATTTTTAAGCGCACATTTCAGTGGCATTAATTATATTCACAGTGCTTTGCAACCACCACCACTATTTATTTCCAAAATGTTTTCATTACCCCAAACAGAAACTCTGTACCTGCTAAGCAATAAGTCCTCATTCCTCTCGTCTCCCAAGCCCCTGGCAACCACAAATCTACTTTCTGTCCCTATGCATTTGCCTATTCTAGATATTTCATATAAGTGGGACCATAAGTATTTGTCCTTTTATGTCTGGCTTAGTTCACTTAGCATATCTGGTTTTCTCTTTAATGAGAGTGTCACTTAAACATGTTTGAAGCTGTGTAACCATTTGCTTTAAATGTCGTGAGGCATGTTACTGGGCTGGTGACCAGGAAGTTAAAGGAGTCTGGCTGGAATGCAGAAAAGACACCATTTTTCAGTGGCTCTGGAGCCTGAGCTGTCAGTACTGCTGCTGCAGGGTTGCCTTCTGTTCCAGGTGCTGGAAAATCCCCAGCTTATAAGACCTCGGCAAGAATCAGCAGTTGTACTGGTCAGGATCTGGGTGCGTGAGGTCTAGTCCAGAGCTCTGTAGATAGTTCAGGATCCCTTGGGATTACCCCTAGTCACTCAATCACTTATTCATTCATTTGACAAATATCTAAATACGTCAGGCTTGCCAGCATTAGGCTAGGCCCTGGGATCACAGTAGTGAATGGGGTTCCTGTTCTCAGAGAGCTTCCAGTCTACTGAGGGAGACAGACATTCATCAACTAATCACATCCATCAGTATAACCAGTTGCCGTTGAGTCGATTCTGACTCATGTCGACGCCACATGTGTCAGAGTAGAACTGTGCTCCATAGAGTTTTCAGTGGCTGATTTTTCAGAAGCAGATCACCGGGCCTTTCTTCCGAGGCACCTCTGGAAGGAATCAAACCTCCAACCTTTTGGTTAGCAGCCTAGCGCATTAACTGTTTGCACCATCCAGGGGCTCCATCTATCGGTATAGAAATGCAAACTGAGAGAAGACTTAGGAATGAGAGAAACACAGCTTTGGGAACCCGTAACCTGACCTAACCTGGGGGTTTCAGGAGGCTTCACTGAAGAAGTGAAGCCTCAGTTTAAGGTAAAGAAGGGGGTGGAGGGAGGCAGGTGCTTAAAGGAGCTTCGGAGTTCTAAAAAGCTGCTTGGGCCATGTGCAGTGTAAGTAGGTGAGCTGACTTCCTCCTATTTCTCTTCTCTCCCCTGCCTGCCCTTCCAGATGTGTCAAAATGCTAAAAGTAAAACAGGGTCTTTGGAATGCTAGTTCTTGGTAGTATTGTGAAGAGAGACTTTGAGCTTGGTTCTGATGGAGGTGGTGGTGGTAGGTGGGTAGATGGGGAGAGACAATGAAGGTTAGGTAATTGTAGAATGAATACACTGGAGAACCATTAGAGTATAGCTGAAGTTCTGGATGGGCTTCTTTCTCCTAGCTCTGCTCTTTCTGCAAATCTCAGAGCCTCACAGGCCTATCTGCACAATGGAGTAAAAAATCTTGTCCCCTACCCTGCTTACCTCACTTAGTTAAAAATGTAGATAGTACCAGGTACCCAGGGGTCAGTCGGTTTTGCATAGTTCTGCAGGCCCTGAAGAGAAAGATAAATAAGAGCTAATTATGGTTATTAAGATTAAAGGACTTTTCAAGTAGATCCAATAAAGAAAGGTTAAAGAATCTGGCATGGTGTAGCTTGCAGAGAAGGCTAAAGAAGCACTCAGTATTAATTTGCCAAGACTGAAGACTAAGAATTACTTGGAGGATATAATATTGCTTTCCCCAGCTTCGCTGACAGCAGAAAGAGGAAACTGGCTTGAGATGTAGGCAAGATGGAAGAAGGATTGGGATTGTGGTCAGAAGGGTTAGATTCAGGAATGGTACCTGAGGTGGGTTGTGAAATAGCCTTTTCTGGTTTACACTAACAAGAGAACAGTACCCAGATGTCTGGGGTGATTTGGGAGAAAGCAAAATCGATATTTCTACTGACCTTGGGAGTCTCCTTCCAGCCCATCTCTAGCTCCAGTGCAGTATGAGATCACATTTTAGCAATCCTAGTCTGAGGGTAAGGAGTCCTTGGGTGGCACAAACAGTTAAATGCTGGGTTGATGGTCCAAACTCACCCAGAAGCATCTCAAAAGAAAGGATTGGAGATATGCCTCTGAAAGGTCACAGCCTTCAAACCCTATGGAGAACAGTTCTACTCTGAAACACATGGGGTCGCCATGCATTGGAATCGACTCTATGGCAACTCGTAGGCTGAGGGTGGGGTGGGAGGAAGGATTATCCTAGAATAATAAAGTCCTGGAATCTGGGTAGGACAGGAGCTGGGGATTTCACCCTACCTCAATATGATGCCTTTTCTTCCAAATAAAGCTAATAAACTTCTTACTTGCAAAATTGATTCTCTCCTTGCCCCACATTCTCTTTCTGTGGCTTTTGAGACATCTGGCTTGTTGATAAGACAAAGATTCTGCTGTATGCTAAGCAGATGCACTTCTAGAATCTTTGCACACTCTCGCAGTCTTCTTCCTGTTTTTAAAAACCCATTCATATTTAATTTAATTCTTCCAAATGGCTTCCTCATCATCCTATCTTCCCACTTTGTAATGCATCATAGTCTCCCTTATGCACGTACCTGCCAAATTAAACTTTATGGCTTATCAGCTAGAAGATTGCCATAGGATCATGCCAAGTATTCTTGCAAGTTACATTATGGCCTTTCACACTTGCCAGCTTGTTTTTATTGTTCAAATGGGTATATACCTTCCTTCCCACAAAGCCCTGTGTTTATGGTCTTCAGCTGTCAGTCACGTCCACACAGGCAATTTTGTGCAGGACCTTCCCTTACCTCTTGGGTAACTGGGAGAAAGGTAGAGGGTCAGCTGGGATATAATGAATTCCCTTGGGGACTCCTCATTTGGAGACTTAGATTATTATGGTGTAAGAGGAAACTTGTTCCAACTTTGCAAATTAGCCTTGTCCAGGGGTCATTGCACATCTGGCAGAAAGCCAGAGGGACAGTAAACAGCTCAGCCACTTTGCTGCTCATCCCACTAGTTGGTCCCCTGCTCTTCCCTCCTATGAGGTCCTAGTCAGCCCAGGATGCATGTCCATTATTTATTTATGACCTCCTCAGACAGTTGTGTCCAGTCCTCGTTTAAAGCACAGATACCCTGGGGAAGGTGGACACCTGAAGCGGAAGGCAGCTAGCATTTTAAAAAACCAATAACCAAAACCATTACTGTCAAGTAGATTCCAACTCATAATGACCCTAAAGGATAGAATAGAACTGCCCCCATAGGATTTCCTAGGCTGTAATCTTTATGGGAGCAGATTGCCAGGTCTTTTCTCCCATGGAGCAGCTGGTGGGTTCGAACTGCCAATGTTTCAGTTAGCAGCCAAGCATTTAACCATTGATCCACCAGAGCACCTTATCCACAGGTATAGGGATTAGGATTTACAGTATATATTTTGGGGGGACATAGTGCAATCTATAGCATTGGAGCAGGTAATTTAACCTCATGCCTCATCTGTAAAATGGGGGTAATAATGCCAACCTCAAAATGTTGTCATGAGAATTAAATGCAAATATACATATGCCTATATATAATGTGTATATGTATGTGATACATATATATATCCATATCTATCTATATCTATCTATCTATCTGTCTGTCTGTCTATCTATCTACCTATGTACAGAGACACACACACCTCTAGTAGATTGCCTGGCACATTAGTAGGCACCCAATAAATGGTAGATGTTCTAATATTCAAACAAGGAGAAGGGTGCTGAAGCAGTTAAGATGCAGAAGCTTGCTCCTGGCTTTTGGTAGGAGTGGTCCCAACTCTAGGCATTTTTTTGCAGAAGGCTCTAGGGTCCAGAACAACACCCACCCCCCCACCGCTATGATCATCAGAGTGTTAACCAGTGCAGTCTGGATTGTTTTCAGAGGCTCCATAAGGAGTTGCCACTCAGCCTGGAGGAGCTGGAGGATGTGTTTGATGCCCTGGATGCTGATGGCAATGGCTTTCTAACCCCAGAGGAGTTTACTACTGGATTTAGTAAGTTCTGATGGATACTGGGGACCCAGGATTATGAGTCTACACAAATCTTTATAAGGTACATCCCATCTCTTCCCTCTCCAGATCTAGGGGACCATGTAGTATGTGCTTTCCTGGCCCCCTTTTAGGGATCCAGAGCCAGAAGATTTTAAGCTGTGGATTATTTGGCTCTGTTTTCACATGTCCAGCTCATCTACTTACATCACTTCTCCCTTAGTGTCCGTACGCTGTCATTGCCCAATCCCCTCCCACCAGAGAATGGTAAGGAGAATGAAGAGGGGCTCTGGGGGAAGGTTTGGGGGAGCTGAGATGAGATTTCAAGCCTCTCCTTTTCAGCCTTGAAACCAGTAGACAACAAAGTGTGATGACTAGATGGATCATTCCATCCTACGTCTGGATGAGTCTTCCAGCTTGAGAGATACCAGCTACCAGAGAATTTCTAGAGGGTTTGAATAGATTAGTCATTCTCAAGGTAACTAGAAGGAAGAAGAACTGAGATCCATGAACAAACTAAAGAAACCAGGTTCATCTTCAGATCAGATACTGACCAGGTATTGATCAGAGCAGATACCTATCAGATAAATCAATAGGCAAATTTTGCAATGCGTCTGCCTTAGGCACAGTGCCATATAGGCTACTTAGATGTATCTGAAGTCTTCCCTGACCTTCAGAAACTTATCATTGACCTGGAAGGATAAGACAAATTTCTGTAATACTAGACAGTACAAGTAGCGAAAAAGTGCACACCAAACTGTTAAGTACCTTGAAATGGGAGGGGCAGCATAGGCAGTCAGGCTGCTGGAGGATAGTGGAGTGAAAAGTCTTGTTGCTTAGGGAAGATATCACCAAAAAGGTGGGTTCTGGACTAGACTTGAAAGGACTGAGAACCTCAGTGGTGCTGTAATAGCTGTCATGCATTCTGCCTTTCCCAGGTCCCAGCCTCTATGGAAGAATGCCCATGGAAGTGGGAAAGACTGGGGGTTAGACATGAAATCCAAAACATGGTGTACAATGATCTTTTGCTATAGGGAATTTTCCTTTTTCTTCTCTCAGATGAACCAACCTCAAATGATTCCTGGCAACTAAGAAAGCTAGGCTCTTCCTGGGTGAGTATTGCCTAATTCAGATCCTTGTGCCATACATCCCCAGGTCACTTCTTCTTCAGCCAGAGTAACCCAAGTCAGGAAGATGCAGGCGAACAGGTGGCCCAGCTCCAGGAAGAGAAGGTATATCAGTCCAGAGGGGAAGAGGATCTGGGTGACATGGACAAAGATGAGGAAGCTCAGTTCCAGATGCTGATGGACAGACTTGGAGCTCAAAAGGTTTTGGAAGAGTAAGTTGTGACAGTGATTTGGGGGATGGAGTCTAGGAGGAACCTCTTCATCTGCTCCGTTCAGCATACAGGCATTGTTAAGCACTCAGTGCTGGTCCCCTGCTTGGTCCTGCCAGCTCAGTAGCCTTGCTTCATCCTGCCATTTGCAATGCAGCCTGCATTTGCAATGACTGTCTGTGTTCCACGGTTGAGGGGCTCTGTCTCTGCTTTGTACATTTTTTCATGGGAAACACTCCTATCTCCTGCCCCTACCCTCTACTCTTCTCACTCCCTGTTGTACATTGTCTTCACCATCCTTGGCTCTGCCTTGCTCCCCAAGGGGTACTCATGCATCAGAGGTCTGGGCCAGACTCCAAGGGTTTTTCAAGGAGCTTTGCCCAAAGCTCCCTAATGCCACCAGCTCTGTAGCATTTTCACCTCCCTCAGAGCCAGCTGTGTGTCTCTGGGGCTGCAGTGCATCCCTGCCACCCTCACCCATATTTTTTCTCCAAAAATTCCTTTGAAATATGGAGACACATAGAACTAAGGCCTGACATTAGTTTAAAAAAGTTTTGTGGTAACTAATGAAACCAGACAATGGGCCTGAAAACCATGTAATACCCTCTGTTCTCTTTTCCCATTGCCTTTTTCTTTTCCATTTTTGGGTCTTTAGGTCTTCGGTAAGGAGCCCTGATGGCATAGTGGTTAAATGCTTGGCTGCTAACCAAAAGGTTGGCAGTTGGTACCCAACAGTGTCTCCACAGGAGAAAAGACCTGGAGATCTGCTCCCGTAAAGATTACCACCTAAGAAACCCTATGAGGCAGCTCTACCCTGTCACATTGGGTTGCTGTGAGTCGGAATTGACTGGGTGGCATAAAACAACAGGTCTTGGGTGGAGTCCCGAGGGGTTGCAAATGGTTAACTGAAAGGTTGGAGGTTTGAGTCCACCCAGAGGTATCTCAGAAGAAAGAAAGCCCTGGTGATCTACTTCTGAAAAATCAGCTATTGAAAACCTTATGGAGCACCATTCTGCTTTGACTTATATGGGGTTGCCATGAGTCAGAGTTGACTCAACAGCAGCTGATTTTGGTTAGGTCTTGGGTTGTGTGTATGTTTCATGTGGGGTGGGAATGACCTAGTGATTGGAGCTAAGGAAGAGAAGAGACTGCAATGGATAATGATAAAAAGGAAGCAAATCGAGAAGGGTCCTGCAATAACATGCAGGTCAGAGAAAGCATCCACAGCTCTGTGAATTTTTAGCAAACAATTTGGTAGACTGTATCAGCATTAAGAAAGACTAGCAAAGTCTGTGCCAGGTAAGAAGGGGGCAAAGGCCTAGGAGAGACCCCTCTGGGAGGCTCTGGACAGGAGGTGAAACTATAGCAGCAGCAGCTCTGATGCAAGCTTGGGTCATCAGAGAGTGGAGCTGGGCAGTGTGGGGGTACGGGTGAGAGCTCAGGTGAGTCAGACACACCTGACTTATCTTCGTCAAGAGACCAGAGTGTAGTGACCACTGCCAGTTACCCCTTGAAGCCTCCTCCTGGACAAGGGGGAAGAAGAGAGCAGAGCAGGCAAGCCAAGGCACTGTTACTGAAAGAAAGGTGCCTTTCTACCCACTCTTCCCTTCCCTGGACCAGTGTCAAATGCCTGTGCACACCTGAGCCAAAATGAGATATCCTGGACCAAAAAAAAGGCTCTGGGGAAGTTTCAAGAGTGATCTATAAAAAATAAATATGCAGAATGTGGTGACCAGAGATTTTGGTCCTCATTGAAGTTAGAACAAAAAGGAAATGGGCTTAAGTTGCATCATGAGGGAAACATTCATGACCATGAGACCCAGATCAGGAAATAGAGGAGGCCGAGGAGGTCTTTAGAGGAGACTTCTGAGGTCTTTAAAGATTTCTCTCACCAAAATGATTTCTGTGTGGTCCTGGAGGCAGCAAGATACATTGAGCGATCCCCCCAGAATGCCTCGCAGCCCTATATTCCTATATCATTTCATGAGGGACAGCCTCAGGGTGGTCCAGAAATGGTACACAGGACACCAAGTTTCCTAGGTGGTCTAATTGACTGAGTGATTTGACCAAATTTAGTTGACCTTGCCTTATTTTTCATCAAGGGTCAAAAGGCTTATCCCTTCTCCAGCAATCTGGGGTGAGGTGATGCAATCATGATTAAGTGGTTCAAGGAGCTTTGGGAGAGAGGTAGTCTGCAAATCTCAGGGGGTGCTTTAGCCCAATAGGCTAATAGGAACTTGGCAAATGTAAATAGACAGACCTAGGTTGGCAAGGTATACCTTGACTTTATAATGAATTTACTTCCTCAGGGAAGCAGTCTCTCACAGTGATGGGAGGTCACCATGCTGTCTCTCTGAGACCCTTTTAACTCTGAACGCTTTTTGTTATCTACAGTTTACCTTATACAATAAAGTGGATACCCACCACGTGTTCTGTGTGGGGAAAATGGAACTTATTCTGGGGAACAGAGAGGCTTCTAACTTCCCTTTCTCTTGTTTCCCAGATTCCCTCATATCATACAGTGCAGCGCTAGGTTTGCGAGAGATAACAGTAAATATGTCTTGGTTGGTTGGATGGATGGATGGATGGATGGATGCATGGATGCATGGATGCATGGATGCATGCATGGATGCGTGGATGGATGATGGATGGATGGATGCATGGATGGATGCATGGATGGATGCATGATGCATGGATGGGTGCATGGATGGATGGACGCATGGACGGTTGGATGCATGGACAGATGGATGCGTGGATGGATGCATGCATGGACGGATGCATGCATGGACGGATGCATGCGTGGACGGATGCATGCATGGATGGATGCATGCATGGTCTGGGTGAATAGGTGGATGTTTGGATGGGATTGGGGAAAGAAAGCACAGAAGGATGGAGCAAGAGAAGGAAAGAGGGAGGGAGGGAGCAGGGAGGATTGGATAGATGGTCAGATAACTAACCAGAGGTGGGTTCATTTCTGAGTGGGTCTCTTCTCCACTGGGTGCAGAGAGAGACTACCTCTGCGTCAGAAGGCCTTTGCTAACATTGCATTATCAAATATCACTTCTGAGGGAAGTATCTCAAATATAGTGCTTGTTGCACACGCACGAAGGATTTTATTCTTTATTCTGAGAGTTCCTGGTCCTAGCTACCCTCAGATCATAGTGGTTTTAGAATTTGGTGGGATGCAAATCAGATTTATCTTTGACCTGATGGTTGGCTGTAGATTTTTGAGCTTTTCCGGAAGGGATAACAGGGTGCATGGTGTGTGCTTCATCCAAGTACCTTCCGTTGGTGACCAGTGTGGCCTCCTGTGTCCCTGTTGCTGTGCCACATCCACATGTGCCCTGGTATGCTTATCTCTGGGGCTTGTTTCTGTGCCTGTCACTCTATGCCTTTTCCTCTCTGCCTGACTCTCTGCTTGTCCTTCCATGTGTGCACATACATATTTCAGACTTGCTCCATCCTTTCTTTTCACCTGTCGGTGATTCCCTTTGCCACCAGGCCCCAGCGGGGTGTTGCGTAGTCTCTTCCACTCCCCACAGTGACAATTGCTTTCTTCCATCCATCAGCTAGCACGTCTTTACCTCTCAGTGGTGATGACCATCATTCCTGGGGGTGACAAGCTCTCACCATTAGCTCTACAAAACTTATCCTCACATACTTGAGGCTCCCTTCTTCCTCTCTTCTCCCTGGCACTTTGAGATGCTCCTGAGCATTTCACCGTGCATTCTTGGCACCAGTGGCCCCATCATGAAAGACACCAGAGAACTGGTGCAGCAGAGAATGGTGGTTACATGATGGAAGAGACTCTGTAGCATCCCGCTGGGCCTGGTGGCAAAGGGAATAACTGACAGGTGAAAGGAAAGGAAGAGCAAGTCTGAAAGATGTATGTGGTTACAGACTGCCCTGAGTTTAACTCCTGACTCCATCATTTACCAGCTGAATGATTTCGGACAGCTCACTTACCCCCTCTTCATCTCTATTTCCTCATAAGTGGAGGTAATAAAGCACCTACCTCATTACTGTGAAGATTAAATGAGCTAATATGTACAAAGTGCTTAGCATACAGTAAGCACTCAATAAATGCTAGCTGCTGTCATGTTGACTTTGATGGTTGAGTGGTACATTCTCACCTTCCATGTGGAAGACCTGGGTTCAATTCCCAGCCTACGTACCTCTTGTGCAGCCACCACCCATATGTCAGTGGAGGTTTGCATGTTGCTATGATGCTGAACAGGTTTCAGTGGAGCTTTCAGACTAAGGGAGACTAGGAAGAAAGGCCTGGTGATCTACTTCCAAAAATCAGCCAATGAAAACCCTATGGCTCACGATGGTCCAATCCACAACTGAACATGAGGATGGTGCAGGGCAGGTGGCATTTCGTTCCATTGTGCATGGAGTCACCAGGAGTCAGGTGTGACTCAACAGCAACTGACAACAACAAATTATCATGATGGTGATGATGTGGCAATGGTGATGAAGGTAGTGATAATATTGTTGATCTTGTCTGTCAGTTTCACATTCAGGAAATTCTGTGTTTCCCATAAAGCCTTTCCCTCCTTCCCACACTCCCACACTAGCATCCCTTCTTCTCTTGCAGTGAAAGCGATGTCAAGCAACTCTGGCTGCAGCTGAAGAAGGATGAACCTCACTTACTGTCCAACTTTGAGGATTTCCTGACCAGGATCTTTTCCCAGCTCCAAGAAGCCCACGAGGAGAAGAACGAACTGGAAAGTGCCCTGAAAAAGTGAGTACCCAGCCTCAGCTGCTCTTTGTACATACGTGTGAAAAATAGCAATACAAAGCGTAGCTTCTCTTATATCTTCCACTGAAACATTTCATGAGGTCTACATAGGCCGGGCCCTCCGACTGCGATAATATTTTTTAAACCTTCATTCACGTTTATTAACCACTCACCATATGCTAAGCACTATTCTAAATACTGTACCTACACTAGCTCATTTAATTTTCACAACAATTCTTTGAAGTAGGCACTATTTTACCGATGAGGCACTCAAGGCATTGAAAGGTTAAGTGTCTTGGCCCAGATTACATAGCTTGTAAGTGGCAAAGCCAGGATTCAGAGCGAGACAGTCAGTCTGGCACCTAAAACCAGGAGGTATACCACTATCCCCATCTCTGAGCAGTAAGGCCCCAGCATATTGGGCCTATCCCCCGACTCCAGACCAGCCTCACTTTGCCTTAGGTGGAGTTTCTGTAAGGTAGTTCATCGCCCTACTTACTGAATGTCCCCCCTCCTGACTGCTCTCTCCTGTCATAGCTGTACATATTGTCTGCTTCCCTCTTTGTCCTCAACCCTCTCCAGGTACAGAGTGATTTCTAGGATTCCTCTTTCCCTGAAGGAGACAGGACAGACAAGTTAAACAACACCTGAAGAAACTTCAGAAGATCTGAACCAGAGTCAGCACTGGCACACTGATCAAAAATGCAGGGCAAGTCTGATAGGCACTGATCCCCTTATGAGAATGAATGTGCCATTAGGGGCGCTGTGCTTGTTCACAGTCATTTAGCGTACATTTACAGCAGTGAGCTCTCATTTTGTGAAACATGGAGTTAGATATGGTGAAACTTAGGTCAGTCATTTCAGGATTATCTTGAAGGTGAGGCCAGAGTGAAGAGCTGGGTTTTGGTAGAGCTTGGAAGCCCATGGAGGTGGTCCTCCCTCCCATGCCTCTGCCATGCAGTCTTATCCATGCCCACGGATTTCCTCCTTGTCTGTTCCTAACAATTCCATGGCTACAATATTCCACAGACCACTCGCCCCACTGTTCAAGCCTTGCTTCCCAGAAAAGCTCTGTGGTGCCCAGCACTGCCTCCTGGGTGGCAGTATTTCAAAGTCTACCCGGAAGTGGTAAAGAAAAGGCACACAAGCCCCTAGTTTAAAAAGAATTGATCACTATGTGTCTTACTGTGTAGATCATCTGTCTCCATATTCCTCTGAACCCCAGCCTTTTTACGTTTTGTGCCTCCCCCATGTCAACTCTAAAAACACTTATTGGTGACAGCTGGATATACATTGTGTTATTATTAGGTGCCGGCCAGTCAATTCTAACTCATAGCAACCCCATATGACAGAGTAGAACTGCCCATAGGGTTTTCTTGGCTGTAATCTTCATGGAGACAGATTGCCAAGTCTTTCTCCTGCAGAGAATCTGGGTGGGTCTGAACTGCCAACCTGTCAGTTAGCAGCCAAGCGCTTAACCATTGCACCAGCAGGTCTCCTTTGGGTGTACATAGGCCTAGAAAAAACGGCCTTCAGGATCCTGCATTATGGGGAAGTTAAGGGCAAAGAGTGCGGGAGGAAACATGGTTTGACTAAAGGAGTGTTAAGGGTATTCTGTTACTGTTGCCTGCCCTTGAGTTAATTCCAACTCATAGTGACCCTATATGACAGAGCGGAGATGTCCCAAGGGTGTTCTAAAAAAATAAAAGGATGTTCTAGGGGAGAGGAATTTCCAAGGCTTGAGAAGGGAGGGTAGAGTCAAACCAAACCAAACCATTGCTGTTGAGCAACATTTTTCTGTCACGGAGCAGCTGGTGGGTTCAAACCACCGACTTTTCGGTTAGCAGTCAAGTGCTTAACAACTGTGCCACCGGGGCCCCTTTTAGCTGAGTAGTATACCTCTGGAGCCCTGGTGGCATGGTGGTTAAGAATTTGGCTGCTAACCAAAAGGTTGGCAGTTCAAATCCACCAGCTGCTCCTTGGAAACCCTATGGGGCAGTTCTACTTTGTCCTACAGGGTTGCTATGACTCAGCATTGACTTGATGGCAACGAGTGTTTTTTTTTTTGGTTTAGTATACTTTTATGTACCCTTTAGCTGATTAAGCTGTGGAGTCAGACAGACCCAAGTTGGAATCTTGGTTCTGCCACTAACTAGCTGTGTGACTTAGGACAAACTACTCAACCACTCTGAGTCTCAGCTTTCTTAACTATAAAATAGGGTTAAGAGTATCTACCTAACAGAGTTGTTGCTGTGAAGATTAAATCTCACAATGCAGGTGAATATTTGGAACAGTGCTGTTGTTGTTAGGTGCTGTTGAGTCAGTTCCGACTCATAGTGACTCTATGTACAACAGAACGAAATACTGTCCGGTCCTGTGCCATCCTCACAATCATTGTTATGCTGGAGCCCATTGTTGCAGCCACTGTGTCAATCTAATCTCATTGAGGGTCTTCCTCTTTTTCCCTGACCCTCTACTTTACCAAACATGATGTGCTTCTCCAGGGACTGATCCCTCCTGATAACATGTCCAAAGTATATGAGACATAGTCTCGCCATCTTTACTTCTAAGGAGCATTCTGGTTGTACTTCTTCCAAGACAGATTTGTTCATTCTTTCGGCAGTCCGTGGTATATTCAATATTCAGCACCAACACCACAATTCAAAGGTATCAATTCTTCTTTGGTCTTCGTTATTCATTGTCCAGCTTTTGCATGCATATGAGGCGATTGGAAACACCATGGCTTGGGTCAGGCGCACCTTAGTCTTCAAGGTGACATCTTTACTTTTTAACACTTTAAAGAGGTCTTTTCCAGCAGATTTGTCCAGTGCAATGCGTTGTCTGATTTCTTGGCTGCTGCTTCCATGGGCATTGATTGTGGATCCAACTAAAATGAAATCTTTGACAATCTTTTCTCTGTTTATCATAATGTTGCTTATTGGTCCAGTTGTGAGGATTCGATGACAGTTAAAATAATTTATGTTATTATTTTTTAATTTATATTATTATTACTTTAAATAAGTATGTTCATTAGTTTGAGAGAATTTGCCTGGCTGAAGTGGAGAGTTTCAGCCTTGATATAATTGAAGGTGAAGTTTAAGGATCCCTTTATCCTTCCAGACAACATGGAGTAGAGCTGTGCTACTCGAAGAGTGGGTCTGTGGACCAACAGCTTCGGCACCACCTAGAAACTTATCAGGAATGCAGACTTCCAAGCCTCACCCCAGCCCTGCTGAATCTGCATTTTAACAAGATGTCTTGTAGCTTCTTGTGTGGATTTGAGAAGTTGACGGTGGTGAATCAGGAGACTTGGGTTCAAGTCATACATGATTCTGCAACCAGCTAGCCCTGTGACCTTGCTCAAGTAACTTGGCCTCTCTGACCCTTGGTTTTCTCACCTATAATATAAGGGGGCTGGATTAGTTTACATCCCTCACCCCATGCTCACTCCCCAGCCTCAGGATTGCTTGCCTGGAATAGCCCAAGAAGTCAGATAGCACCTTCCAGAGAGGAGGGTGCTTTTCTGCCCTCTAAGGAGGGTAATCACGGCCTGGATGGCAGACACTTACCCAGTAGTGGTGGGGAATCTTCTCTGTAGGATGCTCCTCTGCCAGTCCCATGCTCCTGGGGAGAGAGGAATGCTTCTTACTTGCTGAAGAGCCTCTTAGCCCTGACGTCCATCTGCAAGTAGCCTGTATCAGTGCTTTTGCACTAATTTAGTGATTACTTAAAAAGGTCTTGAGATGAAAGTCAGGTCCACTCTTGGCTGCTTGTGCAAAACTAGCTCAGCCAAAGATTCCCAGCACTTGCATGCCCATCCTTAGTTGATATCCCTGCTGACTACACCTGCCCTGGGGTCAGCTAATCAATGCCCACTCCTGGCTGGGGAGCTCTGGTGGGCTTGGAGATTCACTGAGCTCTCTGGCCAGTCTCACTCAAGGTGTTCTCTAGGTGCAAAGCCCTGAGCTGCAGGCTGTCATGAGCAGAGCAGTGAAGTAGGAGTCAGGAGAAACCTGAATTCTTGCCCAGGCCCTGCCCCTTACCAGCTGTATGATCTTCGACAACTTGCTTTACCTCTCAGAGCATCAGTTTCCTTGCTGGCAGCATGAGAGAATTGTTTTTCAAACTTTGTGTGATTACAACTCACGGGAAGAAATGCATCTTACTTTGCAACCCCCATACACTTATGCGTGTGTATAACTGAAACAAAAGTTTCATGAAGCGGAACTCATCCTTATTAAACATGACCCACTCTGATCTTTTTTTATTATACTCTCTTTTATTCTCTTCTCTTCTGTTAAAAAATAGTTGGTCAAACCCTGTGACCCACTTCATTGAGTTCACCACCTGCTTCTGAGTTATAACTAGGCCAGATGATCTCCAAGGGCCCTTACAGCTCAGAAATCTAACAAGAAAGTGGCAGCCCCTGTAGGGTCTATTGTTGATGCAGTTGTTGTATGCTGTCTAGTCGAGTCAATTCCAACTCATAACAACCCTGTATGACAGAGTAGAACTGCCCCATAGGGTTTCCTAGGTTGTAATTTTTACAGGAGCAGATTGCCAGGTCTTTTCAAACCACTGACCTTTTGGTTAGCAGCTGAACACTTAACCTTTGGATCACCAGGGTTCCTCATCTATAGGGTCAAGAATATTTAAACAGGATTCTGGTCTGTACAGAGGACTCAGGATGAAGTTAAGTGATTCTGGGACATCTTCTAAGAGAAGATGAGTTTGGAGGCTTGAGGGGCATATGCAGGGTTTGGTGAGGGAAGAGTGAGAAAGCCTGTAGGAATGGCCTGATGTGAAATTCAGGCTGGAGCCATGGAAGAATCCTGAGGAGAACAGCAAGTACTGAAGTATACTTGAGTATACTTGAGCTGTCGGAATATCTCTTAGGCTCCTCTACAAGCTGGATTTTCAATATAGCGTATGACATTTCAACTCTATCTTTGAAACAAGCCCCTGTCCCAGAAGTCATTACCGCTGTGTGTCCATCCCGGGGC